GGGGGGGGGGGCAACTGTAATCAAGCAACTTACATTGCCAGCAATTAGGATTAGAATTAGAGTTGATGGTAAGGGTGCAGCAACTAAGATAAGAACTTTATTAATTGTTGTGCCAGGGTTTGAATACAAAGGAACAAACTGTATTTGGGCAACATGAGATGTTAGCAACCAGGGTTGACCAACCTGGGCAACTTGAGGTAGAAGGTCAAAGACGTAGAGTCTCACCTACAGATGGACACTCTGACGCACAGGTAGCCGGGGGCTAAACCCACACCAGCCCGGCGCCTGGCACCAGCGGGTGGGAAAAGGTCCAGCCCCTCAAGGAAGTTGGCTCCAGAGTCCATGCTGAGCCAGACTATGTTGAGCAACCTTTTGAGGCAATCGCTGCACTCGATTTATGAAACTCTGTGACTTGTGTCCGTCCACAGGTATTTTTGGTCCACTCTGCTCAAAATCAAAAACTGCAACTTATCTGATTAGGTCTCCAAGTAATATTTCATCTTTAAATCGTTCTCTCCCTCTCAGACATTCTGCCTGGACATTTCCCCGGAGCCATCAACATGCCGTTCACGACGTTCCTGGATCCCTCTGGGAAACATCTGGGAACTGAGGCCCTGGCCAAGCTTTTTAAAGACGCCGGGGTGGACCTGCAGCGTCCGCTCTGGGCCTCCTGCGGTTCTGGAGTCACTGCGTGCCACGTCGTCCTGGCTGCGGAGCAGCTCGGGCACCCGGGGGTCCCTCTGTACGACGGCTCCTGGTGCGAGTGGTTTCAGAGAGCCGAGCAGGAGAACATCATTTCAGAGTGGGGGAGAACGACGGAGCGAATGATCAAATGAGGCAAAAACAAGAACATGTTGCAAATAGAGAAGAAAAAATGAGTGCGCTGTACGAACAGCTGCTAATTATCAAGAATAATCTGAATTATGGTGCAAGTGTCACCAGCGGCATCAAAGATCTGATTTCTTGGAAGTTCTAATGAGCGTTTGCACGAGACACATGTGAAAGTTACATAAACCTAAAATAGCTTTAAAACAATCAAGCTACATGTATTTTTTTTAATTTACAGCCAAAGAAAAAAAAAATCCAGACCTTTTTTTTTAGACAATTAAATGCTTTTTACAAAGCAATTTTTATAAGATCAAAACATGGATTTTACTAAAAGTGCATGTGTATGTGCTTATTGTAGCACAAGTTATTAATTATACTGTAGCTTTTGTTAGTATCAGCTGCACACTGTCCGTTATTGATTTACTGTGGAACCTTAAATGTGTATTAATGTAAAAAGTAATGAAAATGTTCAGATCGTGTCCAGAAGAGCTGCTCTGAAAATTGCCTTAAGTTTGTGCACTTATTCTAACCTGACATCTATCTTATGACAGAAACTTAAACATGGTGCTGTTGCTGATTTTTTTTTTTCCATGATTGTTTTACCAAAGTTGTTCAGCTGAAAACAGATTTCACAGTAAAATGAAACTTTGCATTTATTGATGACATCAACGTGTCTAATGCAGTTATCTCTGATAACATGGAAAACAGTCTGAAAGACTCATCTGTTCTTGAACTCATTCTGCTCCTACATCAGGGGTCTTTGTTGGAACTTGGGGTGCTTTTCCAGCCAGTAAGGATGACATACAATAAAAAATATCTAATGATAGTTAATGTTCGTTGATACTGTTTACATTTTAAGACAAAAATGACAAGATTCATGTAGTTTAAAAAAGCTTAATTAAAAAAAAATTGAAACCCTTAACCCTTCAGGCCTATGTGAGTTCTGTTTAACTGTGGACAAATTAATTAAGTATCCTATGAACTAAAGAAAAAAGTCAAACTGAGTAAAAAAATTAGGCCAGGTTGTTGGATGTGTAATAAAAACATGTACGTGCACATATCAATATGTGCACGTAGAGATCCCTGCAAGATTAACATAAAACATTAAAATGAAATGGAACTTTATTGATCCCACAAGAAATTGTCAGTTTCAACACAACAGAACATACACAAGGAATCGCAAGTCATAAAAACAACAAATAAAAAAAGACAGAATATAAAAATATACCAACAATTAAGTTCTAAAACAGGCCAGGTGCAGACAGGAACACTGAAGTGTTTATTGTAGTGCAGGATTACTTTTTATTATGTGTAGAAAGAGGCAGTAAAGTTGTAAGAGACTTTGTGTTTTTTCTTCTTCCACGACGCGACCTATGATGGAGCTTTAGAGCCATGCTAAAAAAAAAAAGCCATAAAGTTATGAGAATAATGTTGTAGTATTATGAAAATAAAGTCTTAATATTATGAAACAAGACTTTTTTTTTTGCAGTGCTTGTGGTTTTTTTTTTCTCCACGAGTCTGATCCACCAAGCGACCTGTCAATCAATCCAGTAGGCGTGTCAGCAAATGACCAGTCCAAAGCCAAATGCTCCTTACCTGCAGAGCTGCTGCAGCCCATCAGAGCAAGCCAAAGTCCTGATACTGATAATAATCTGGTGCTGATGTGCTAACAGATTAACTATCTCCATATTAGTTCTAGAATTGCGCCGCTCAAAGTGGCTGCATGTTGGAGCAGCTCTTGTTACTTTCATTCTGAGATTTTGCTTTTGGAAACTTTAATTCCTCTTTTTCTGGATGTAAATCACATTTTTTGGATGATTGTTTCCTCTGGTATCAGATGCTGTGCAGCTGGAAGGATTTTTACTGAAACTTTTTTAGTTTTGGACATTTGTTGTGATGCGTAACCATGGCAACAAGGCAGTTTTCTACAACCAACAGCAGCTGATTAACATCTCAAAAGCTCAAATAATATCTCAACTACAGCCCCAAATCTCAAATGAGTTGAAAAGGATGTTCTGCAGATGCATTCTCATCTACCTGCCAGCTGTGCTCGAGTGCCTGACCACTGAGATCCTGGAACTAGCAGGAAACACGGCTCATGACAGCGGAAGGACAGGATCGTCCCTTGGCACCTACAGTTGGCTGTCCAACTATGGCGCTCTATGAGGAGCTCAGCAGGCTGCTGGGAGGAGTAGCCATCGCTCTGGGAGGAGTTCTGCCTGGCATTCGGGCGGTCCTACAGCCCGGGGGAATCGAGAGGCCAGCTGAGTCTGGGTGGACGGATCGGACGACATCTGCAGCCAGTTTCTTGGGATCCACTATGGGATGGACCTTTACAAGAGATCCTTACTGCCTACAGCCATCAGTGTCTATAACATCTCTTAATGAAATGAGGATAACGAGTTACAACAACAAATAATTTCCCTTTGGGATTAATAAAGTATTTTTGAATTGAATTGAATTTGTAAAACCAATACCAAAGTATAACTTAAGATGCTCAACATTCTTTATTTTACCAGTTACAATGCGATAAACCCTACTTTATCGTGTCAGACTTCAGATATTACGACTCTTTTAGCTTCGCATTGGTCATTTGCTGACACGCCTACTGGATTGATTGACAGGTCACATTGTGGATCTGACTCCTGGGGGGGGGGGGGGGGGGCGCGTGAGCTGAAAAAAAAAGTCTTGTATGACTTTATTCTCATAATATTAAAACTTTATTCTTATAATACTATGACTTTATCCTCATAATTTTATGGCTTTTATTTATTTTTTCTTAGTGTGGCCCTAAAGCTCCATCATAGTATTTGGTCCTTGGAACATGTAGTGAAAATGTAATAGTTGACTTCAAAGCTAATACACAGCAAAAACTGCA